CCACATGCGAATTCACCAATATCAATCTACCAAACAACATGAAAAGTTGCAAGAAAAGTAAGTAATAACTCACACCAACACTCCATTTCAAGTTGGTGTATGCACATATCTCGCATGACTAACTTATTCAGCGAGTCATGAAAAACTCAACAGAAGATTCTGTTGTGAATTTTAAATAACCTGAAAACAAAGATTTTTCTAAACACAACTTATACTTCGTAAGTGCAGAAGGTCAATCACAATTTAGCAAGGTAAGCATGAGGTCATTCCCACGAGGATTGATTTTAACCTAATTTACTTTACAAAGAACTTTAACTACTTTAATTAATATAAACAAGAAATTAAACATGTAGCTTATTCACATAAGCACAAAGGGGGTTTTTTGAATGAGCGATTCAATTAACTAAAACAACCAAAAATTAAAAAACAAAATAAATAATAAGTCAAAGCACACAAAGATGAGAAATTCAAACTGATGAAAGCACATGGACAATGAATTTACCAATAGTAATATGATCTAGCCTATTATTACGTACCTATTAATTAATTCAATTGATGTTGCCGCTTAGTTTTCCTTTTTCATGAATTACCTATGGTATTTAGGGAAACCCAAATATTTCTACATGCAATTCACCTATGGTATTTAAGTCAAATATCAACATATAGAAACTCATTAATTAAGATAAGTGAAAAACTCTAACAAGCATGTAACCCCTAGGAGTATGGTAATTACCCTAGCTAGAAGAATTACACATTGTATTCAAGAAGCAAGCCTCAAATTAAGTATGGTATTTACTCTAATTTTCATTAGATAAACTCAATTAAAAATCTAGATGGTGATCATGAAATTGATACTTAGGTGAAGATGGGTAAATTAAAGGTTATTCTAAAGACTTACCAACTACACAAATCTTAACTTAACCTGAGATCAATATGACTAGTCAACTATTAGTCATAAACTAGCAACAATCACACATACAGACGAAACAACCAATACCTGCAAACCTAGAAGATCACTAGTGACAACTTAGGCACTCAGAAGAACCTGTCAATCTAGGTATCCCCTGTGCTAGCAACAACTAAGGTGAGTAGTGTGTGTGAATACATCAAGATCATATATATATAGCAACATTCAGATGATGACTAGTCAACAGCAAGAACACAACACCAGAAAAACATGAACAACAAAGCCAGAAAATTGTTCACTCAGAAACCCATCATTGGGAAAAATTGAGAGTCATCATCTGACCAGGCAATCTACTAAGCAAAGAAGGTTCTTACAGAGAAATCACAAGCAAGCTAAAAGAAACCTAGGTCTATTTAGCAATCTTCTTTTCCAAACTTAGCCAAGCTTGCAGCTAGTTCTTCATGGCAATGGCAGCTTCCTCCTCAGCTCGTTCATCTCATGGCACCAGCTCACACAACTCAACTCCAAACAAGAACGAGAAATTTGGATTCAAAATGAAATGATCAATTTCTTCAAGAAACCATACTCTTGAAGAAATCAATTTAGAATCTGACCTAAATTTATATAAGAATGTGTTTGATTTAGCTAGATGCAGATTTCATCTTTCAAAGCAGTTTTCAAAATCAAGTTGAAAAACTCATTTATGAAAAGATGGAGAAATCACTCCAAAGAAGAGGATAGCAAAGGAGGAGAAACTCACAACCTCTCAAACACCCTTTTACTGAAGTGATGGCTCCAAAAGGAATGAAGGGACCGTTTACCCAAAATTCCTTGGTTTGAAATAGACAAATGGCATCAAGAGAATATCAGAGAATAAGACAAAATTCGTTAGGACCCAGCTGGAAAATGAAATGAGCTGGTAGACCTCATAATGCACAAAAGATGACTAGTCAAACATATACAAGTTGACTAGTCATAACCTAATGCATTCTAATGAATGTAATGCAAAATTTATCTTTGGCATTCCTTGATTATGTTGAGCAATTGATGAACAGATGCACAAAAGATGACTAGTCAAACATATACAAGTTGACTGTCATAACCTAATGCATTCTAATGAATGTAATGCAAAATTTATCTTTGGCATTCCTTGATTATGTTGAGCAATTGATGAACACAGTCAAAGGAAAACAACTAGATACAAATTTAACCTAGTCTAATAACCTTAAGCTTGAGAAATAGATTACATGTCCTATTACAAAGTTGGCAAGGAAGCTAAAGGAATACTAGCTAGAATACAACTCAACAGATCAAGCATAAAGAAAATCAATCAAGTTATTAAGCAGAGTGATTAAGAATCCAACATCAAACGGCAATCAAAAGATATGCAAAATAAGAAAACTAGATTATCATACTAGGGTTGCATCATGCCCTATCAAAAGAAACTTAGTTACACATAGTCATAGAATTCGCAATAAGCAAAGACATAAGGAAGAAATAATAAAACCCTAGCAAAGTTGCAGGACTCTTCCTATGCTCTCTAATTTCTCCAATCTTTCATCCTCATTGTAAGGAGTTGTTTCTCACGTTTATATAAAGCACCTCACTTCTGATCCTAGTTTGTTCATTAAGCATAAAGTTTCAAATGTCATTGTTTTATCGCTCTATATGGATGACATTATTGTGACATGCTCAAATACAGCTCTTGTTCAAGCAACTATTGAGAATTTGGCCTCATTATTTGAACTTAAAGATATGGGATTACTTACTTACTTTCTCGGACTCTAAATCTCTTATACATCCACAAGAACTATCTTTGCTAACGAATATAAATATGCAAAAGAATTGTTAGCTAAAGCAGGCATGAGTAGTTGCAAGGCATGCTTAACACCTGCAAACCTCATTCTCAAATTCTGATAACAAATGGTGAACCTTTGAAGGATTCAACTTTGTTTCGCAGTTTGGTAGGAGCTTTACAGTATTTGACATTCACAAGGCTTGATATTGCTTATGCAGTAAACACTATGTGCCAATACATTTCAAATCCTACAGAGTCTCATTTCTATCTTGTGAAAAGAATTTTATGATATATTCAAGGCACACTTCAATATGGCATCACATTTTCTTCTAGTCCAATGTAGTTGACAGCTTATAACAATGTTGATTGGGCTGGAGATCCGTTTATTCCAAGATTGTGTTTCTTGGTCATAATCCAGTCTCTTGGCAGTCAAAGAAACCAGGACCAATAGCTTGAAGTTCTACAAAAGAAGAGTATTGTGCTTTAGCTAATACTGCTGCTGACGTTGTATGGATTCGACAGGTTTTAGCTGATTTACATGAGTTCTTGCCAGAGCCTCCTTTAATGCATTGTGACAATCTGTCTGCCTTGGCTCTAAGTTCAAATTATGTTTATCACTCTAGGATCAAGCACCTCAATATTGATTTTCACTTTGTAGGGGAGCATGGTCAGCTCAAAGATCTTATTGTGCAGTACATACATACAAATGAACAACTGTCTTCATAGAAGGATTACATGGTCCTCTCTTTGCAAGAAATTGTAGCCAGGGCCAACCCTAGGCAATAAATCAAATGAGGCCCCTCCTTGATATACAATAAAGCTTAATACGAAAAGAAAAAAAAACTTTTCTCATTCATTCTTGTTGGTTTAAACATAATAATTTCATTCTAACAAAGCAAAAGTACATGAATCATAAAATTTAAATTTTAAAAAAAAAAAAAATCATATTTAGGTCCATACATAGTCAGATAGCTTCTAACATTCAACAAAACAACCTATTATTTGACAATAAGTTCTAAAGTAGCTTGTTTTTTTTGGGCCAAAAGGTGCTCAAACCAATGAAGAGAATCAACAAACCACCTAACAAAAGATAGAGGCCAAGCCCCAACAACAATCAGTGGAAGGAAAAGCAAGAATAAAACTCAACAGAGACCAGTATATAGGGTTTACGGTGGGAAAAAAGTTCGCTGGATAGGAAAAAATATAAAGAAAAATTCATAAATCTGATTGCCTTTTCAAATTCTTATACTCCTCTTCTCTTGGTCACCATCAATCTCAAAGACAAAGATCAAAAAGAAAAATTGTGAGAAACTGAAAATAATAGATTGAAGAGAGAACGAGAGAACAAAGAATAATATGGTGGATTAAATAGAGAGCATGTTCCATGGAGAAACTAGGAGTAGGACAACCAAAGTCTTCTGGAAAGAGGAAAGTGTGGCGAAGAGGAAGCGCGTTTCTTCTAGGAAGAGGAATCGTGTTTTACTCATTTAATTTTAGGTTGTTTTTATTTATTTATTTTTTATAGGTTAGACGCCTGGTGTATATATATAATATAAATTTCTTTTGTGCCCCTCTTAATTGGAGGCCCATGGCCATCGCCCTTTCAGCCCAATGCCGGCCCTTATTGTAGTAATCCCAGACTAGGTAACCCAGCTGAGATTGAGGGCGGGTGTTTGGCTAATGGATAAGATGACGTGGCATTGTTGTTAGCCTGTTTAAACAGACTCACGTGTTTTGCATTAGTGTGTAAGCTAAGTCTGTAGCATAAATGTAACCTTTGCTGTGTCAACATTTATTCAGAAAAGTGATAATAGAAATCTCAGATTTTTCTCTAAATCTTCATGAAGCTTCTCGATTCTTCTTCATCTTCAACCTCTGTTAGCAAAAACATACTCTTCAAATACAAAATAAGCCAACAAAAACTTAATGTATCTGAAGTACTGGATGATGGTAGTAAGTAAAACACAAAGGTTTGAAAATTGACATCTCACATTAAAATAATTTAGATGAGACTCGCATATTTAATGTTTCCTTATGTGTAAGTAAAACACAAAGGAAGTCAATGGAAATCATTCCCTTTCTTGTCATTTCCATTACTAGTAGTAGTAAGTAAGCGTGAAGAATCGAGTCGTGAAATTTAAACTCACCAAATCAAGTACTGATACAGGATCGGCAAGTATGCATTTTAACTTCCCTTTAGAATAACCACCAATTGCCAAAACAATGGTCCTTTAACCACCCAGATTGGAAAGAAAATATATGAATTAATACTTCAAAATAATGACATGATAAAGTTTATGGTATACCGTATTTTTCTTCCGCTAGGTTCTTTTCTTCATTGAAGTCATCAATGCAAGATGAGTCCCCGAATATGAGCCCTTCCTTTTCCCCACACACATAAGCTGGAAGGCATTTACGGTCAGTGTATGTACGTGAAATTTAATATACGAAGATGAAATTTAGCAAAAAACAAAATAATGAAAATGAAGTTTAAAACAGAAAATATATTTTGATGCTAACGTAGTAATTAATTATATTCTCCTAATGGCTCCACCCTACTCTAATGTGTGGAGATGGGGATCGAACTCGGATGCAAGAAGTCACACTGCCTTAGCCAACTGGTCTAATTCACATATGCTAGTGATGATTATAATTGGGTCAAAATCACATTCCGGTAAAATTAATTGACATAAAGGCCATGTATCGTATTATAATCATTAGGCTAATAATTTGGATATTTCTTTTAATTCTGAAAACCTTCTACATGCTTAACATGTGATATTTCTAACAATTAAGCAGACATTAATGTGATTTTGTATATGCACTTAGATTCCACAATAACTACAACTTTACAAGTATTGCAAATATCTGATTTACATAGACGAAAGTAGAATGAGATTCCAATTCTTAGTGATATATATTTTAATATTGAAAGAAGTTTTCAGTACAAATTTTCGGTGTCCTGTTACAAAAAGAAATAAATAACTACAGGTGCCCAAAACATTAGTTGAAAAAGAAAGCAACAGTAACCTGTTGATAAATGCACAAGTATCTCTAGTTTGAAACACTTCTTTGCAAAGCTCAGGATGTGCAGAACTCCAAATGTATTGACGCCCAATGAAATATCATATCTACACGCAACGCAAATATACACAATATTATATATCTACACATAATTAAGTAAAGTCGTGTGTGCATCGTGCATTATAGATTACCTCTCATCAAATTCGGTGGTTGCTGCAGAATTAAATATAATCTGTATTTCATTGCACATTTCTTCCCTCAATTTGAAATCTTTCACCTCCAATTCCAAATTTTCAAAGCTTACGTCTCCCGGGAGAGCGACAACTTTTTCTGATATAAAGGAATCAAAATTCATCCCCCATTCCTCTCTGAGAACACTGAACAACTCCTTCCCTATGATCTTTAATTTAGAGAGAAGAAGTAAATTGTCAAATAAATGTTGGCTATTGCCTGCTCATGAAAACGCGAGTGTCGTTGTTTCATGTGGCAGTTCTGCATTTATATTCATTTGTAAACCTCATTATGCATGCGATGCCTGGCTGACTTGGTATCAGAAGCTCTTAACAGGAGATAAATCTTCTTCACATCTGGCTGAACCCTTAGTATTTTCTCCACAAATACTGCATGCATATATTTGCAAGTAATTATTGGTATCAGAAGCTCTTAACAGGAGATAAATCTTCTTCACATCTGGCTGAACCCTTAGTATTTTCTCCACAAATACTGCATGCATATATTTGCAAGTAATTAAGTTACACAGAGAGAGAGAGAGAGAGAGAGAGAGAGTACCCATTGCAAGGAAGCCAGTGGCTCCAGTAACTAAAATGGTCTTATTCTGCAGATATTTTAGTATGCTTCCCGACCCCATTGAACTCAGAATAAAAAATTCAAAAAGTGATAGAGAGGGAAATTCTTGGTTGAGAAGAATTACAGGTTAGATGTTGTTTTGGATGAATTCAAAAGTTTTTTGTTGGGTTTATATAGAACTAAACTACCTTGATCACACAGTTATTATATACATAGATGTATAGTAGATGGGGGATTACAATCTATCCGAATTAAAAGAGGGAAATATTATTTTTTTTCAGTTCATTTTTATTCTTTGTTGCTTTTTTTGCGGTGTTTAATAAAATATTCTTTTCTCTGCTACATCCTGGTGGGGAAGAGGGTTTTAAAAAGGGTACAATATCTTAATCTAATTATTTATATTTTTGCACTTTGCATTTAACAGAAATATTCCAACTGCAAACGTCAGATTTAGTCTTTATAAAGTAAATTGCTTTTGTTGTTGGTATGTGTTATTATATTATAATTTTACATCATAACCAAGCAAGTAAAAGAGCACAACCTACTCATACATTCATTTTGATAATATGTATTTTTTTTTTCTTTATGATAAAGTTTTATTAGAAATTAGTCAATGAAGCTATAATTTATATGATTATTATATACTTTTATTTATTAAAAACTACAGAAACAATAACTTTTTAAGAAAAAAAAAATCATTAAATTTTAAGCTAAAAATTTTAGGCAGCCCATTCATAGTTCCTGCCAATTTTTGTAATTGATATTGTTACTAGAAAAGGTCCAGTCCAGCCTAGAGGTGTCAAATGGGCCGTGCCGGGCCGGCCCATTTAATTTATCGGGCCATGCCGTGTCGGCCCATTTAATAAAATCATTGATCCCGGCCCGGCTCAAAGCTCATGTCCACATTGAAACGGGCCGGGCCGGGCTCGTGCCTTGCCCGTGCTCGTGCTCGTGTCATACTCGGGCCCAAGAACCAACCCATTTAATTTGAAATTTTTTTTTTCCACTAGATAATTCAAATTATAAACATTAAAAATATAATTAGAGGCAAGAAATGATGAACTATTTGAAAACATTAATCAATTAAACATCCAAACAATATGAAGGGGCGGAGGGCAAAAAGTGTCCAACTCCACAAAGTCCACTTCAACTTTTCATCTTTAAACAACTTATTATTTTATTTGTGAAGAAATGTCTTGCTTTGATTATAAGAGAAGCGTATATGTCATATGTATTGATTAGATATCAAGTCCAATGTTGTTTAATTAATTTGTAGTTGATATGTTTAATTAATTAAGGACCCAAGTAATTTCCCTAAAATGAAATGAAAGACATCAAATATATGTTTATGATTTTTTTTAAAAAACAAATAAACAATGACATTAGACATCAAATATTGCATTTTGACTTTTTGAGAAGAAAAAAAAAGCTAAATGGGCCGGGCTTGGGCCGTGCTTAGGCTCGTGCTTGGGCTCGTGCTGTGCTTGAAGCGGGCTCGGGCCAAGCTCGGCTCATGTCGGGCCATGGGCCTGCCCGGTCCATTGGACCTATTTTTTAATCCCGGCCCGGCCCAAGTTTTCGTGCCGTGCCGAGCACGGCCCATTAATATTCGTGCTCGTGCCGTGCCGTGCCTCATTTAAACGGGCTGGGCTCGTGCCATGCTGGGCCGGCCCGTCCCGTTTGACACCTCTAAGTCCAGCCGTCCTGCCTTATTATAGATTCGTTAATGTATTTTTGTGTGCATGTGCTTATATGTTGCTTCCATATTCTCATGGTGAAATACGTTGATTATATCCCATATACTTCGTGTAAAAAAAAATAAAAAAAGGAATGATCTGTTAGGCCATCTCCAATGCAAGGAGTCAAACCCAAAATATTGCCCCAAATATCTCCCAACCCAAGAAAATGAAGGACCAAAAATTTGGGAAAACCCAACTTTGGACCCAAATATGGGTCCAAGTATTGCCCGGACCCAATACTAATCACTGGACCCCACGCTGAGGTGGCAGAGCCCATGTGCTTCTGAAAAATGGTGGGACCCGCGCTGGTCACATGTTCTGATGGGCTTGTTTGTGGCATGGGCCACGTGTCAGCACTAGGTGAGAGAGCCATTGGGCTTTGGGTGTCTCCTTTAAAAAAAAAAAATATTATACTATCGATTGGGCCCACATAGTCACTTTTTGGACTTAAAATTTGAGTCCGAAGGGTTGGGAGAAAAAACGATTTGAGTCCGGGCAAAACCCAAATAGTCACTTTTTGAAGGGGGAAAATTTGGGTTTAGCCCCTCATGGGTTGGAGATGGTCTTAAGTTTGGGATTGATTTTTAACAATAGGTCGAATTATACCAATTCAACGATTCGAATCATCTATTTTATTTAAGGAATCATTCAAATAATTTTATTTAAGGGATTGTTCAAACAATGTTATTTCAGGGACACATTTTCGAGTCCGCTACAAATTTTATTTCAACAATCTGAAACGTCTGTTTTCGAAGTCTTCATTCACAGATCATTCTTGCCAAAAGTTAGACAAATTAAAAATCATTAAGATATTTAATTGTGGCAAATCAAATAGACGAATACGGTACTTAAAGAAAATACTAAAATGACAACTATTAAATTGAGTGGTCAAATGATTTCGGAATCAAGTGATTTTTAACAAAAATAATCTTTGAATGAATACCTAAACGATAAATTAATCGAATCATTGAAATACAAAATTCATCTCACAAAGGTATCTGTCAAATTAGCAGTATTTGAGGAACCTCTCCTTTGTTAAAGCTGATTTGCGTCACTAACAATTGTTAATTCCTCGATTTCCCCAATATCGAAGTAAGGTGTTTCCTCAAAAGTCGTATATACAATTTAAGAAGAGCTCCTACTTAGTATTCTACTACATTATATATAGTAATCTCTCCCATATAAAACTAGAGGTTTTCACCAAACAGTTCCTAACAACAGTAGGTAGATAGTAGATAGAATAGGGTCCATTTTGTCATATAAGTTTTGTTACACCATTTTCGTTCGGCCATAAGTATTTGTTATTCAATGAAGTTCGGTTTTTCCTACCAACAAGACTAGAGGGTAGATAGACTAGTCTGGCTTTGAAAATATTACATAAACCCAACATTTGTTATTTTCTATTTTTTTTTGCTACCATATTTCTTGTGTCTTTCTTCCTCTCTCTTGTTAGCTTTTGTTGAATTAAAAACTTATATGGATATAAAAACAAAAATTATGGATCACATGCATTCAAAAACACACCAATAAAGATTTTAAGATTTAAGTCACTCAAGCTCATGATATGATTTTTTATTTCTCGACCGTACGAAATTTTCATGTGGTCTAGGTATTTGAATGTGACCCATCAACAAATGCTAAAATTATAATGTTATGATAATTATATGACCCCTAATTTTATCAAACATTATGCCTATTCTCTCACTTCTCCTCCAATTAGAGCATCATAATGGGATCACTAAACCACCTCCTTAGACAAATTTTAGGGAGTAATTGGAAAAATACAACTCCAACCATGCCCCTATTCACCTCCTAAAATAGGGAGACCTCTAGGACTAGGAGCTTCTATATCTGAGGAGAGAGAAAAGACTCCTAGTAGCTCCCTATAATTTAATATTGCTTTATTTTAAGCATAGTTTAAACTTTTAATTAATACTAATTATATATATATGACTATAGTATTTATGACTCCCTAATTGTAATAGATTGAAGGAGAAATTATGTAATACGTTAAAGTTTCAATTTATAATGTAATGTTTGTGATATAATGTATGACTACGAATTATGAATCTGTATTAATATTGTGAGTTCGAAATGGTTGTGTGCTTAAAGAAAAGTAAAAAGAAGTTGTGGTGATTTTTGTGCATTCCAAGCTTCACTCCCAAATTGTATTTGTGTTTAATAACTAAGCAGCTTATCGTGGGGTTGTAAATTCGGAGCGTGACACTTCTAGTGAGCTAAGCACGATTGTTGTGCAAACAATTTGTTCATTGTTTTGTACAATTTGTGGTTCTTAGCTATAAAACATATATATATCTATATGTAAAAATTTCAATCATATTTCATGATAAATATTTAGCTATAAAACAAATTAACCAAACAACATAATAAAAATAGGTAAAAAGTCAATTTTGGTCCATATGGTTTATCACTTTCATTATTAAGGTCTCTTTGATTTCAATTTGATGACCTTTGGCCATGTGGTTTCAATTTGAAGTTATTCAAGGACAATCCTCAATTTCTGTCAAATTTTTTGTTGTTTATGGAGAGCCAATCCGGTCCACAAATTATTAAAAAATTTCCTTTTAAAAATAAATATTAAAAACCAATAAAAAATAAGAAGAAAAAGAATCTTAAAAGAATAAAAAATTTAAAAAATTTAAATCGCAGCAGTTGGCTCTTATACCGACCCCAATAAACCACCACCCGAACCAAAATGACCCACCCAACAACAACCATAGTAAAAATTAAAAACAAATAAAAATAAAGAATAACTAGCATGGCCCGTACAAGAATTACTTGCATACTTGAGTATTGGACAATAAGTAAAAACAAATACCAAAAAAAAAAGACAAAAAACCAATAAATTCAAAAGGTCAAACGAAATAAAAACATGAATTTTGATAATTTAATAAAATAAAGTTTCAATTTATAATGTAATGTTTGTGATATAATGTATGACTACGAATTATGAATCTGTATTAATATTGTGAGTTCGAAATGGTTGTGTGCTTAAAGAAAAGTAAAAAGAAGTTGTGGTGATTTTTGTGCATTCCAAGCTTCACTCCCAAATTGTATTTGTGTTTAATAACTAAGCAGCTTATCGTGGGGTTGTAAATTCGGAGCGTAACCCAAATCAACCCCACAATCAACAATTGTATATTTTTTGGGTGTGTTTATAAATGAGTTTTGAGTGTGTGTAATGATGAGTTTTGGGTATGGTTATAAAGTGTTTTGGGTGTTGGGTATTTTTATAATTTCAGCCCCCATTTTGGGTATTTTAGTGAAACTCCCAACAAAAAAAGACAAAAAACCAATAAAT